AGGAAGGATCGCCGGAGCCCAACAGGTAGAGGCTGCGGTGGCCGGGAGCGGCCACTGCACTCCAGTCTGGACAACCGAGTGAGACTCCAACTCAAAAAAAAAAAAAAAAAAAATTAGCCAGGTGTAGTGGTGCAAACCAGTAGTCCCAGATACTTGCAAGGTTACAGCAGAAGGATCACCTTAGGCTAGCAGGTCTAGGCTGCAGTAGCCATGACTGTGCCACTGTACACCAACCTGGGCGGCAAAGGTAGACTCCAACTCAAAAAATATACAAACTGTATATATTTTAAGAGGGAGTAGATGAGTTAAAAAGAAAGAAATAACTTTCGCTGTTGCCTAGTTAACATTGGTAGAAACGTTGGGGCTGACACTGGCACCACCAAGTGCCCACAAGGGGTAATTGCAGGTTCCAGTCTCAACTGCAAGTACGGGCCTCAGTGCTGAGCCTACAGAGCTGAAGCTACTCTGGGAAGACAGCAGGCGCCATCCAGCAGGACTGCCAGCAGCTCACCGCCAAGTCTGTTCTGCCAAGTCAGGAGGTCCGTTCTGATTGGACCAAGCTCCTGCCACACTGGGTGTTAAATACCTTGAATATCATTCCTGGGTGACAGAAATGTCACTCCGGAGCGTCTACCAGAGAAATGCCAACATGGTGTGTACCCTCACCTCCCTATCAAGAACCTGAGTTACGATCCAGCCCTTCAAATGACCCACAACTCATGTCAAGAAGGAAAAATAATGGGGGGGATGGTGTGTGAAGTTGGGGGGCATGTGGGTAGACATGACGAGGTCCCCATCCCAGGAACCCTAGCACATCCCTGAGCTTGTCACAGGTGGAGAAAAAAGTCAGGATGTATTTTTCTCTCTTTTTTTTTTTTGAGTTGGCATTTCACTCTGTCGCCGAGACTGGAGTGCAGTGGCACGCTCCCGGCCACCGCGGCCTCAACCTGCTGGGCTCAGGCAATCCTCTCGTTTCAGCCTTCCAAGTAGCTGGAACTACAGGCGTGCGCTACCACGCCCGGCTAATTTTTTAAATTTATTGGAGAGACAAGGTCTCGCCAAGTTGCCTGGGCAGGTCTCGAACCCACGGGCTCAGGCAATCCACTCACCTCAGCCTCCCAAAGTGCTGGGATTACAGGCTGAGCCACAGAGCCTGGCCGATATATTTTTCTAAAGGTGAACCCAGGATGTGCCCTTTGGTCTCAACGAAGGCAAGCATTTAGTGGGAAGAGCCCCAGGCTTAGGTCCTTGGCTCCAAAGAAAATGACAAGCAAGGTGGGGTGCAGTGACTCACACCTATAATCCCAGAAGTTCAGGAAGCTAAGCAAGAGGACTGTCTGAGCCCAGGAGTTCGAGACCAGTCTGGGCAGTGTGGCATGACCTGGTCTCTACAATAAAACCAAAAATTAGCCAGCCGTGTTTGCGCGCCTGTAGTCCCAGCTATTTGGAAGACTGAGGCAGAAGGATCACCTGAGCGCAGTAGGTTGAGGCTGCGGTAGCCATGAGCATGCTACTGCACTCCAGCACGGGCGACAGAGTGAGACTCTGACTGGAAGGAAAAGGAAAGGGAAAAGGAAAAGGAAAAGGAAAGGAAAGGAGAAAATAACAGGTTAACAGCCTCAGAGTCAGGATTCCTAACAGGGAGAGTCCCATGCTGCGTAACTGTGGGGATATTAGAGACATTCTCCACTCTGTGCCTCCACCCCCATGACAGTTCCAAGAAGCAAGACTCACCAAGGACTCCCTAATCTTACTGGGTCTGCCTGGTAGACTAATAAAAACAATGGGCACCACGTGGTAGTCACTCTGTCCTGTACCAAGCAATTGATAATCAGTACTTCACTTAATCCTCATAAGAATCCTATGAGGCTGACCACCCTGCTCCTCTCACAGCTGCCAGAGGACCTGGACCCAAGTTCAGTTCAGGGGCAGTGTCCTGTGGGAACCACCTTCCTGCTCCCTCATTCCCATCACCTGCCTCATCCTCCTGGGCTTCCCTCTGGGAAAACACCGGGTTCCTGCAGGAAGCTCTGGAGCGCAACCCTAGCAGGTCACTCCACTCTGAGCCTGTTTCCTTCTCCCTAAAAGGACTGTCCATCAAATTAGAACCAGTGAGGCGACACACAGTAAGTGCTCAGGAAGCGCTTGATCCTGCTCCACTCCTTGCACGTGGCTGCTAGACCAAACCTCCCTAAAGCCGTTTTCATCAGCTGCTCCCTCAACGGCTTCCCAGATCTCTAAGATCGAGTTCCCTGTCCCCCGCATTCGGATGCTTTTCCTAGCCACAATCCTTCCAGTGGGAAGAGAAGAGGATCTTATCCCAGGATGCTCCCCAGGGGTCTCCCCACCCCTCCACACCCTTCCAGCCCCTCTCCATCCATCTCGTCCCTCCAATTCGGTGTCGTCGTCCCCGGCAAAGCCTTCCGACCGCCTCGCCTGCAGGGACTCTCCCCACTACCTTACTGGCCCTCATCAGCACCGGGCCGGGAGCTCCTCCACCCTCGACTACTATATTCCCGGGCCGGCGGCTCGGACGCACCAGGAGCGCGGCAACCCGGCAGGTCGCCGCCAAACAAGAGTCTGGACGCGGGCCAGAGGCTCGCCGGAGGCCCGCCCGGCGGCGCGGGAGAGAGAACCGAGGGCCGGGAAAAGAAGCGCCTGCTCCCCTCCCAGATGCTTCACACTTGGGGGAGGGAGAGGCAGGAAGTGCAAGGGCCGCGCGAGACCCGGCTCCCAGCGCCAGCAGCGCAGATGCTGGGCAGGGGGCCGGAGCGCGGCGGGGGCCCCGCGTAGACCTGCGACCCGGCGCCCCGTCGGCCCGTCGGCAGCGTCCGGGCCAGCCCGCTTTCCAGGAGAGCTTCACTAAGGAGTGTGAGAAAGCAAGTCCTCGGCGGGGTGCAACGCGCTCCGTCCAGCCCCCTGGGGCCAGCGCTCTCCCGGAGATGCGCGCACGGCTGCAACCAGGTGGGAGAAGCAGCCCGAGGAGCGGGAGGGGCTCAGCCCAGGCGACGGGCAGGGTCCACTGTGGATCCGGGGACCGGGAATGGCTCCCGGCCGGCCCGACCTCACCCCGGTCCCTAACACCAGGGGAGCTGGGGGCGCTACCACTTCCAGACAGAGCCAGAACCGCGCGGGGTCCGCAAAGGTGAGAAGGGGGTAAAACGAGGCTGGGGCGCGCGGGGCGGAGTGGCAGGGCCCGG